AGATGTCATACAATCGTTGTAGCAAACGGAAAAATGTATACGTTTGGTTTGAATAGTAGTGGGCAGCTGGGACATGGAAATGTAAAGAATCAAGTAATTCCTCGTGTAATTGATTGCATTGACAATGTGTCATCAGTATTCGCGGGATGGGATCAAAGTTTTTGTTTGCAGTTCAAGTCAGAACAGTCACATGTAAGCTGTTCAAATTATTTTCCTTATTACCATTGTAAAGTTTTCTTTCTTTTTTATGGACTCTAAGAGCAAGCTGTTTTTTCTTGCTCAAGATAGAAGTTAGATAGTAAACTTTACAAGGAAAAGCTCTGTATTTTTTCTATGTTTGAATATTGTCGTCAGTTTTCTTTGGAACATATTTGATAAGCCAGAGTTATCCTGAAAACAGAAGAAAAATGCAAATATCAGAACATGGAACACGTTTTTCAGGAAGTGCTTTCTGGGCCAAGCAGTTATATTCAAAAACCCAAGTTTCTCTCTTTGCAGCTTATTCGAGATCTGTTTTCAGCTGGAGATAAACTAGAAGTCATCGGGTAAGCTTATACCCACAAGTTGGAATTTATTATTGCAAGGTTAATTCTTGCTCTTTTAATTAAGAGTTTGAAGCATAGTCTTGATTACTTGCTTTTAAAATTTTTCAGAGAATTGGAGTCTGTTTTTTCGTCATTATCATCTATAAATGCTTCATTTCTTTATCAAGATGAAAAACGGTATCAGTGTAGCGCGTCAAATAGTTGTCTTGATTTAGATCAGGTTGTGGAAGCATCTACTGTCATTTCGGAAAGTGCAGACGCAGCTCAATATGCAGAAATAGTCTGTTTTATCTTTGTATTCGTCTTCCAACTAACAATTTGTATAATTAATTTTTTATTTAGCTCATCTAGCATTTTAAATGAATAATTTACAATAATTTCCCCATATTCTTCATTTTTTCTAAAGTTGTCCTCTTTTTTCAGATACTAGAAAGTCTCGAAAGAGCAGGAATGTGGAAATTATTTACAGATAAGATAATGTCTTTGGAATCCCTTCGAGTTTTTCTTGTATTGCCTTCATTTTATTTCTTTTCTTCGCCGTCGTATTCTTTTGTCAAAGCACTACATCTTCCTTTTGTTCGATCGTTCCAACTTCTTCGTTCAAAGTATCAAAAAGTCATAGGTTCGTCATACTGAAATATGTGATTTTGATTTAATTTTTCTACTTGAACTGTTTTTTGTTTTTTTTCATTTCCTTAATGAATTATTAGAATGTTTGCATAATTGAAATTTAATTCTTTTTAATTAAAACGAATGATTATTTTCAGAAAAATGGTGGTGTTCATATGAGCCTCGACATTTTAACCGTTTAGTGTCAGCCTTAGTTAAATCATTAGAAGAAATTGTGGAGCATGAGCCGCAGAATACATCTTTACCTGTACCTTTCTGTTTAGTCTTGACACGATTAAACTTTATCAACAGGAGCAAAAACTTAATTCCTTACAACAAGTTTTATATAACTAATTTACAGAAAAAAGTTGATATGGCTTCTGACCTTGCAAAATGGGAATTCCATGTTAGTTATTATTTCTTTAAAAAAATTTTTGTATATCATTTTAATTTTCAACATTGATGTCCAAATTTTTATTTCATTTCCATTTATGTTTGAGACTACTGCTGAAAATATGTTAATCAGTATTTCATTTCAAAACACTTTATTATTCTTCTTTTTCAGAGTCAAGATAGTTCTTTCTATTGGTCAAACTACCCATTTTTAATGGATGAACAATTGAAGACATTTTTGTTGCAACTTGAAGCTCACATTCAGCAGGTGCGGTATTAACCCAAAGTATTTTTCTCATTATTTTGCGCTTAAGGCAGTTTTGACTTATCATAATTTAGAGGCTTGTTCAGATTATTTCCCTGATTCTTTCAATCTTCTTTTGTGGTGGATAGATAACATGGTCGCCGTATGAAGTAACAAAGCTTGTTCATTACAACTTTTTCTGAATTATTCTCGCAGTTTCAGATTTCTATGGCTTCAGGAATAGTAATATTGCCTTTCAATATTTCTCTTCAGCCTCATCCATTCTTTGAGGTAGATATCCATCGAGATAATATTGTTGACGACGCAATGATTGCTTTGTTGTCTTCTAAAGAAACGGATCTCCAAAAACCATTAAAAGCATGTTTTGTTTAACATACTTTCAATTGTCCTTGCTTCGAAAGAATTTTTTCAATTTTGTTCTGAAGTTTCATAACTTTTCTTTCACATGTTTTAAATGATTAAGACTTGATAGTTGTAAACTGCTTAATGTGATTTGTGAGTATTAAAAACATAGTTTTGTGTCGAATTCAACACATTTCACAAATTTACTGATTTTTGTAAAGGTTCATTTTATTGGCGAAGAAGCAGATGATGCTGGTGGTGTGAAGAAGGAGTTTTTTATGTTACTTTTCCAAGAATTACTTCAAGCAAAGTAAGTTATAGGTGTTAACTTACTATCCTTGTCTCATTTAACAATTTAAAAATCTGAAATCACCGCTGTATAAAAAATAGGGTATGAAATGAAAGTGATTTTGCTTTTTCCAGATTTCTTATTCTGCTACCTTTTAATTTGGTTTGTAACTCATCATCTCAAGGAGCAGTTTCATGCTGTTTCACAGTGCATCGTGAACTGTGAACTGGAGATAAATAATGAATTTTCATAGTTTTAGATATGGGATGTTTACAGAAGACGATGAATCGCATCTAATTTGGTTTTCTGGAGTAGAAGCTGATTCATTAAGTTTCACACTTGTCGGAATGCTTTGCGCTTTAGCTATATACAATGTTGTTCTCGTTGATTTTCCTTTTCCATTAGCGTTATATAAAAAAATTCTGAATGTTCCTTTAGAACTTGAAGATCTCAGTGAATTGAGTCCTGCTGAAGGAAGGTAATCTTATATTTCTTGATTCAGAAAATTAGAGTTATGGGTTTTTTTCTAATCTGTAAAATCTCTGAGTATTCTTCAACTGCTATCGTTAGTCACTGCATTGACCCGGATTTAATGTTTTAGATCACTAAGAAGTCTTTTGGATTATGAAGGAGATGATATCGAAGAGGTATTTGGCTTAACATTTGTAATTTCCATATCCTTATTAGGGGATTATAAAGATATCGAACTGAAAATGAATGGCGCGGAAATACCTGTTAATCAGCAGAATAAACACGAGTTTGTGCAGGTTAATATAATTAATCTTATACTATTAAGCAAACTTACAGAGAGAAAAGCAATGCAGTTATTTTTTTATTAGTCAATTTCTGCATATTGATTTTGATGATTTACTGCTTCAGTTGTCGTTGGTAACTTGACTACACTTCATATTTGAGCAATAGACGTAAGCTTACAGGATTCCATTCTTCGGATCAATAAATATCTCGACTCTTGATGTTTTCAGCTTTATATAAAGCAACGTTTGGAAGAAGGCTATGATGGAGAAATAAATCGGCAGCTGCGTTCGTTCATGAAAGGGTTTGAAACTGCTATGCATTCGAAAATCTTATATTATTTTCAACCACAAGAGCTCATGGAAATGGTTGTTGGCAACGAAAATTATGATTGGAATTTATTCCAAAAGGTAATTGTGTACACATCGCGTTAAGAAAATTTTTCATCTTTTAGATTTGAAAGAAAAAAAGTACACTAGCAATTTCTGCTCATGTCAAAATATTATGCAGTTCTAGAAAATTGTATGTCTCAATGGTAGATTTGTATGCTTGTTTATCATTCTCGTTTCAGAATGCTATATATAAAGGTGTATATCACAAACAACATGAAACAATAATTTGTTTTTGGGAAGTATTCTTTGAACTGAACATCGATCAAAAAAAGAAATTCCTGCAATTTTTGATGGGAACTACAAGGATTCCAATCCAGGTTTTCATCAAATATAGAAACTGAATAGGGATCATTACTATGACTTTGTATTGAAGCAAACATCAAAGCAATTACCTTCATCTACCAGTTGGTATAGATATAGTGTCATATTTGAAAAAAGGATCTTTTACAATAAAGACACTTCTCTCAAATATGTATTCTCTCTTTGTTATGATGGTAACAAAAAGAGAATACATATTTGGTAACAAAGAGAGAATAGGAACTGTTTTTGCAACTATACATAAGATCTGAATAATATAGAGTATGCTAGAAAATATGATTTCCTCTCAGACATGTAGTGAATGACACAGATTTGTGTTATTTAAAATTCATCTCTTGTAGGGTATGTCAGAAGTAAAAATACAAATACAACCGTGCGGGGAAGAGTTATTGCCAGTGGCACATACATGTTTTAATTTACTCGATTTGCCGAATATCACCGATCGGCAGGAAATGCGGCGTAGATTGTTAATATGTCTGGAAAACATTCAAGGTTTCAACTTAGTGTAACCTGTGTAATGTTTCCCGAGTAACTAGTCTGTGGATTTACCGAACGAACCTTCGTCTTCTGCTACAAAATTATTAACCTATGATGGTCTACCCTAACCTTTTGTTGTTAACCTCAAAATTTATTATCTGCAAATCTTTCATGAAGCGATAATAAAAAGTTGCATGAACCATATATATTGATGGGTAAAAAAGCTGCAGGTCGAATAGTAATTTTGTTTTCGGTAACCTTTCTATGCACGAGCTTTATTGCTAACCATGATGAAGTGTAATTGTTCTCATCAAGAATTAAAAACACTGAGTAGAAATAACAATCAAATACAGACCGTGATGGATGAAAATCGAGTCTCTACTGCAAATATCCAGGTTACTATGTTTCAAATCATTTGATCCATCATCATCTCACTGCATAGCTATATGATATTTGCATTATCTTCTATGTACTGACTAAGTGGTTACAATTATTGTTGTAGCGTTTTGTACATGAGTCACACTACATATGTTCAGGAACTTAATGCATCAACAAAAAATTTAATGCATTCAAGAAAATATCTTAATTATACGAGAAGTGCGATGATTATTTCACTGAATACTCTTAGTTGCAAGATGTTATATTGTGTTCAAAATACAAGAAACCTTTAACTTTTTCTGCTTGAATTAGGTTGAGTTATAGAAACAAGATGAATTTTTGATGAGGCCATATATGAACAGAAAAACGAGTCATTTGCATACTTATGTAACATTGCAATTAAATTTCTTATGTTAAGTTTTGTAAAAAAAACCCATTTCTATATTGAGGGTGACGCATACATGTAATGTTTTATTGAAAACATCTGTAAGGTATTATTACAACGAGCAAACTAAAACAACGTGTACAACTTCTTCATCTACTCGTTCTTGATTGTACTGCTTATTCATAAATTAAGCTTTAATCATTTTAATTAGTGACTGTTGTTTTATGGTCGTCGATTTACCAATATTTTTGTACTACGAGCGCAAATGCCACGTTGAATTCAAAATTAAAGTATTCCGGAAAATTGCGTAACATCTGAAAAGAAGGTTTGTTGATCATGGAGAAATGTGCTTGTTTTTTTAAATCTTCAAAAATGTTATTAAGAACTGAGCAGGATGAAGTGAAGTTTTTCTTGATCATATCGAAATGGGATTCAGAGCATACAGAAAGGAAAACGCAATGCTCAGAACAGACTTTTTTCAATATTAATCCGTTGAAGGTATTCGTCTTGTGATGCTCGCAAATACGCCCCCATTTCTCATATCTTGGTTTTTCTGAAAGGATAGCGTGCTGGTCTGCATTATCGAAAACGTTTTAAAAATATTAACTAGATGGACATATAAACTAGGATTAGAAGTGATATCTCATGCAACCTCATATTTTTTGAGTGTTATCAAATCACTCAAAAAATATGAGGTTGCATGAGATATCATTTATAACTGGTATCAATCAAGAGTCACAGCTGAATTGTCTTTCCCTGATCAGATATAAGAATGAACTTATCTGTAGAGTAATTATGTTTGTTCATAAACTTGAGAAAGAATTTGGGAAAAGATTATAAAGAGTCGTAAACATGAGTTACATGAACTTTACCATCAGCGCCTAAACTGTGAGACTCATCCAGAAGCGTTTCAACAGTGTCGTTCGTGATATCAGGTGCAGGTATCTGCTTTTCTGTAAGAAAATGGTACCACAAAGTTTACAGGTGTGTCGTTTATGTAAATCCAATATCCATTAGAATGTGTTTTGAGTTATTTTATCAATAAAAATTGAACCAATTTCGTTGAGTCTATGCACAAAACGCTCTACATTACTGATGATTAACTTTCATATTATATAACTAACATTAGTAGACTGACTACAGATTAAGGAAAACAGCCTTTAAAAAACTTTTTGACATTTCGTGGTTCTCACCATCATCGTCGCCTGAACTGGAAGTAGTGTTGTCTATACTATCCTGAGTCGTTTCAACAGAGTCTTTCAATATTTCAGATACCGGCATCTGTTTTTCTACAAAAAAAGATTTAATTTGCAAAGAGCAATCGTAATGATTGTTATTTTCAGTACGGACTTCATCTTTCACAGACTGTTTCAAGTTGATTCAGTAGTCAAAAGCGAATTAGTGACATCGATATGAGCAAAAACTATGTTAATACCGGCTTCCTCCTACATTATCTTACGTTAAACAAATTACACATCCCACTACATCTCAATGAAATCGCTTCTGTAAGATGTCTTTTGTTTTTTAATCATCTTTTGTCTCACATATCCTATACAGTACTACTTTATTTTACTACCTAAAAAAGAGAAACAAAAACTCAGTCTCTTGATGACAAAAAATAAAGAAGCGCTTCATAATGCAAAAATTTTGAAGAAAATGACTGTAAGTGCAGTATTTAAATGTTCAAAAATTTTATTTCTGTTAAATATCAACCACTCCGCTAAGATGGCGAAATTTCATACTTTAGGAGTTTAAAAAATTTTAGATTACATTACAGAAATAGTACCCAGCTGTAGAGAGTATCCTGTCTTGTGCGCTACTTTTCTCTTTTGTGCCAATCGTCGCTTTCTGGAAACGTAAGGGTACTCTGTAAATCGTGGTAGTTTCACTACTTCTTATCATGTATTGATTACACGCTGATTGCATAAAAAAGCAGAAACACATAAATAAAGAGAACTTACTGTAAGGTCTTTTCTTTGGCTTTTCCAACTTTCTTGGTGGCTTATCATATTTTAAATCTTCAATTGTCACCTGAAATTTGTTCGTTATTTTTTAATATAAGATACTAGAATACAAGATACTAGAATATTTTTGAATGACATACTAGAATATTTTTCAAATAGGAAATGACCAGATGTAGTACACAAATTCAATATATTTCTTATACAAAAACTTGGACATTTCTTATCATTTTTACTAAAAAGCAAATGGAATCTTTACAAATAAAAGGAAATTGTTCGTTGATCAAATTTTTGTCCAGAAAAAAGTTTTTCGATGCGAATTTTTCCTTGAATACACGTGAAAAATTATGCAATTGAAATTCAGTTGTACAGGATGAACCAAAATATATTTCAAATGAAAGTTATACGCAATGTAACATTTACTTTTTATATATCAAAAATAATGAAAACTGACTTCAAATCTAAAATCTTGTTGTCTCACATTTTCATTGATACGACACAACTCCACCTTTACATTTCGCGGTTGATCATTGAACATTTCAATTTGGGCAGAAGTGCAAAATTTTTTACAATGTTGGGAAATTTCTTTTATATCATTCAATCTGCAGGAAATGTACACTGACTTAATCTTTACTTCAAGAGGTGGGAAGGTAATTACTTACGATTTATGAAGTAATAATTTCGTTTCCAGCATTAAAAAAAAGGCATAAACTGTCTTTATATCTTCGCCAATCATTACGGAAAGAATATGAAGAAGGTCATGGAATGATTCACTGAAGTATGGTGATGCGTTTTGGAATATGATGTTCACCGCTGAAAATACTGAATTAGAGCATAAAGTGGTAGCCACAATTACTTTAATTCATCTGAAATAAATGCAGTGGATAACAGTAAATAATGGATGACTTGTTTCCAACTAATTTTTAATTTCAGAGAGTATTGGAAAATATAGAGCTGAACCAATGAGCGTAGAAATCATAGAAAATTGGTTTCCAAATGCTAAACAACAATAATATTAAATCGAATGGGCATACCAGGTGTGTAAATCATAGGAGTATATACCAACTCTTTAGTGTACTTTAATAAAGCCGGAGAATACAATGGTTTAGGATATGCCTGGAAAAGTTTTAGTTGTACAGAACTATTGTTCAAAATACATTTTCTTCAATAAAAAGTTCCATTCATCAAAAAAACCTCATAATTTTTCGAACATGGGAAAAGATGACGCCACTTTTTTCGCACCCAGTCAGAGGAAAATGAACTCTGCAATGTTTAGCGAAAAAAAGTTGCAAGCAAATCTGCAGCAACCTCAGTATTTTTAAAATACAAAAATAATTAAGCACAACATAGATAAGTAAAAAATGAGAAGACTACGGAATTTACCTCACTTGGTTGAACACTTTTGTTTTTAAATGTTTTCACAGCTTTATATTCCATTCGATGATTTTTGAAGGACTTAAAAAATGTTTCGACATTATATCTGCAAAACAATTACTTAACTGCAAAAATTTTTGTTTCATTTATATCTTGAAAGAGAACATACCGGTCAATCGATTCCCAATCTGAAGGTGTATTTTCTTCGCGTATTTTTTCATACAATTCAATATTCCGCGTTGCTTGATAACGAAGAGGTGCTTAACAAACAGCATATAAACTATTTACAAAAAATTTTAATGTCAAGGTTTATAGAATAGATCAAGGGAATTCAGTTCTTCATTACTATGATTCCCGGTAAAAACAAATTTATAAAAATCGAAGACAAAAAAAACATGAAAAACTTACTTAACAAAGCTTCTTTATCGAGACTTTGCATGTATTTCGAATCACAATCGTCTTCAAATGAACTATATAAAGAGTAATCACTTTCGTCCATGACAAAATGATCAGGTACGCAACCCTAAATCGTTACAATATTGGATGAATTCAATTACAATTATTTTTCGAAATTGTCATAATATTCCCGGACTTACTTTGAAACGTAAGTTTCTTCCTCCAACAAAACGGCCCACATTAATCTGAGTCACTTGTTCTCCCCAAAAATTCTTTAGTGATTTTAACGCATTAAATTTCTCAGATTCAGCTTCATAATTCATAAGAGGAGCAGATCTAAAAACTGTCTTAGATTGATAGTTAATAGGTGCAAAAAAGTGCGGTTGATATGTAACCTAGCATGATTATTATCATGGATATATACTATATGCTCATATAATAACAGTTTTGTGGACTTTACTTAAATCAGTTTCTGGACAAAGTCAGAAAGTTATTAAATGCTCATCATTAACTCCAACATCAATGAGTAAAAATTTAGCAACACCTTTCTTCCAAAACATCTTTCAAGGGTCGACCACGCCATATTTGCATGCGCATTCTTAATTGATGTATCCATTCACCGAAATTGAACGAATCATCATTATTACTACGCTCTGCGTCAACCTATGTAATAAATAACTTTATTATGAAATTTCATGATGAAACTAAGAAGATTAAACTTGTTAAGAAAACTACCCGGGTCTCCATATTATATTCCATATTGTCATCAAGACCAAAGATTAATTTCAATGCAAGAAGTATTGTCACAACAGCCTTCACGTCAGCAGTGGGAATTATCGAAAAACTAAGATAAATTATTTTGCTGTCATCAATGAATAACTAATGAGTATTTTAATAACTGACAATCAAGCACTTCAAACAGAAGAAAAATCAGAATTACAATTCACTGCTTATAAAAAAATCAATCTAAATTACAATTTTACTTACGCTCTTTCACATCCATGTACCCACGAAAAAGCATGAGGCTCTAAAGCAAAACTAATGTTTTCATTGTGTACGTTATTCTTTTTTTCCAGTAATGCTTGTAAATCAACAATATTGAACTGACGAGTAAATTCCGCATCGAATATAATATTAGGAGGAAATATAGCAGAAATTGCATAAAGACGTTCCATAAAATCAATAGGCAAATTGAGATTATAACTCAAACGAGCCAAAATCTGCAATTCAAATGACAAAAATAGAAAAACAAACTTGTAAGGGAATGCTTACATACAGAAAGGTAAAGAACTTACTCGATCAAATGAACAAGATATTGGTTGCACTGGGATATCAGAAAGCTGACTGAGAACAACAACTGTTCGCATATACTCAAATAGCGGCATGATCTGAAATAAAAATTATTTACGAAATAGATTTGATAGAAATCAGCTGTGTCTCCGATTTTGAATTTTATCAATATTGTCTATCATTTCTAAAATACATCAAAATCATTCAAAAAATTTTAAATTTCTGGATGCATAAGCAAAGTGGCATACAAGTCAACCTTTTTATTATGTATAAGAAAAATTTTAATACAATATTTCATGAAATCTGGAAACTTAAAGCAAACAAGAAAAATTACAGGCATCTTTATACTAAATGGCATCCTTTTCGAATCTTGAGCATTATTTCCTCGTATAGCAGTACACAAAGCTGATGAATGAAGAGCAGACATGAAAAATCGCCCTTCACGAAACCACCTAAACAACTGATCGACTTTTCAAAAACAGTTTCGAAAGAGCTTTTTTGACCTTCATATTACAAACTCCTTCCCTATTTAAAACAGCTAATACTTTTCGAAAAACGATCATTTTTATGAGTTTTTTGAATTTCTAACTAACTGAAATACTAAACGCTATACCTTGTAATGTCGGACAGAAGAACCCAAGTGGCACCAGACAATAAACATCCAACATAAAGAACAGCCATTATAATCTCACTACTCAGAGGAATATCCAACAGCTCAAATAAAGGACTGTTACAAAAAATCTTCGAAATGTTTTTGAATTTTATATGAAGTTTGAAAAAAATCTTGAATATTTCACAAATATGAAGGAACTTTTGAAAAAGAGAACGTACTGTGCAAACAGCAGTCGCGGATAACTTAGTTTCTACTTTCGTTACAGAGCTAATATTGCCCTGAAAAATTTTGTTAAAGTACTTGAACAGGAATTGAACAGATATTATATACAGACAAAACAGAACAAGGCTGATACTCAACATTAACTGAAATCGGCAAAACTAATAAGTAACATGAACTTGATAGATTTATATCATGCAGTCACACAAACAAGTTGTGATTTAACTTTGGAAAAACTGATAAACTTATATTACAAATTTATAATGTACCATATTTTTTTCGGCGACCTGTGAATGAAAATTTGCGTCTATATCATCATTCACGAGTAATGACATAATACTTTTGCCTCGGTTTATCTGCATTTCTTTTCGTATCTCCAGTTCCATTTCTCTTGTTTTATTTTGTGAATCACTGTAAAGCCAGGAATCATTATGATTTACATGCCCATAATTACTCCGACCTTTATAGTAGAATCAAACAAATTTAAAGACCATATGTTTGAGGTCTGATAATACTGATTTGAAAATCATTCAAGACTAACATTTCATTACGGCGAAATTTGAAGATGAAACTGTAATCTAGAAACATCATTTAAAGTTATGAAACACGCAAAAACTTGTTTTTATCACCTATAATGAAAGTAATGCTAATGCCTACTATTCACTGCTGTTAAGTAGTGGACAGTACGAATTTTCTTCATCTAACTCCTCCATACAGAATGCCACACGGCAGTGTTGCAGGTAACGTTGAATGATATAAAGTACATGGGCCTGAATAATGAAAATTAAACAGATCAGTGATAGCAAGATGATTCTTTTTCCTATCCTACTATTTTACGTAATCATTAGTATAGATCTATCAAATTCTCCACAGCAAATTAAGAGTTTAATAATGAATAATTCAACATAAATTGAAATTACTGGAAACATTAATTTTTGTGTAACACACCCTGATGGATTCAGGAACATCAAAATCATGAATAAGAATTGTTGAGAAACGTGCAAGCAATTTCGTAAATGTTGCTAATCGTAAACCACAAAAGCCCAAAAATTCTGGGAAGTCTTTATGCCTTAAGGCTGGTAAAGATCGGTCAAAATTCGATGTTTTTTCCTATAATAGAATTTAAAACTCTTAAAACTATAAAAAGCTGGAGAATACATAAAGTGATTTACAAAGCTTCATAAATTAATGATTTCAAGCCATTTAAATTGTTTTGCTATAATAAAAGCTCATAATAAGTACCTCGAGTAAAACTTTTTTGCGACCTACGGCTTGCTTTTTTTTCCCAGTTCTTACTCTCGTTCCTAGCGCATTGGCCAAAACTCCTTCATCTTCATGATCGAATTCGCGCAAGGCCTGATTACAGTAGAGAAGCAACAACTTATGAAGAATAACATAAACCCGAAATAACTAGTTTTAACCAAAAAACTTTTCCCACATAAGAAATATTCTTACCTGTGACTGTGTGTTACATAATGAGCAATAGAAATAACCATCAGCTATACTAAAGTCTGTCGAACCACAACTGCCACAACACTCTGCCATTTGCAACTCCTTCAATTACAGTTACAACTTTATCGATGATATTCATAATTGCTGTTTAATGAACAAATTCAACACATGTATAAATATATATTACACGACAGTCATCACTTAGTTCTTCGACAAAAGTAATCTCAAATACAACAGTCATTGCGTCGTTTTAACCAAAAGTAAACCTGATTTTATATTTTATTGCTTGAATCATCAAAACAACATAACTTTATAATGGACTAAATAACAGCAAATGAAATACTAAAATAAAAGCAATAACTCTTATAAATCCTTCTATATGGTTTTTGGAATTGTTATTCACACTTTTGAAAGTAATGACATCCAAATTATGACTCAAAGTAAAATGGCATTGTAATTGGCACTGTCTCTTCATGAAACAAACATTTACCACCTAACATTTAAAATCAATATCAGATGCATTTCAGCAAAGTTTTGCACTAAATACTGACAGCATTCCATGTAATTATAAGAATTATAAGGATAAATGAAACATGATCTATTGTTTAATCATTTGCAAGCAGAACGGTTTTTATACACTTTTGGTATTTTATGAGTGAGAACATAACGCTGAGGAACTGGTAATGGAGGTGAGTAGCCTTGTGGAAACGAAGAATCTTCGAACGCTACTAAATAGTCATCAAGTGAAGTATCTGGTGTTCGATCTATCACACCCTAAATATGACTTTTTTAAATATACAAAAGCCTTTATACTTAAATTTAAACTTGCTTTCTTGACTTTGCCTATAATTTTAAAAAAATAAGGCCGTTATTATAGAAACCTATGGATACTATTTTATTATTATTATTATCACCTAGTTTTAAATTATAAATTACTTTATAAAAGCACGTAGTTTGGGGATAAAGAGCAAGTACGATGGCACCGACTGGAAAAAAAGCATGACTATCACGCAATGGATCTGCTCTCCAACGAGGTAAAGGAATCAGTCGACTTCTGCGTACGACATATTTAGTTTTTTGTTCATCATCGATATCTTTTATCTCATATTTTGAACCGGCCTGAGTATGAAGTACTTCAGCAAGAATCCAAATTCCATCTATGAATGCGGCTACTTCCATACCAACCTCAAGATTGTCATTTCTTTAATACTAAAGTTGAAATTTTTTAACGAAATGATCAAGTTAAAATGATAAGTTTAATATTTTAATGTTAAAACAATACTTTTAAAGACATCGATACAGGTGCTGAAATAGCACCAACTAAAGCTGGTGGATGAGTATCAGGAGGTCCAATCCAAAGTGGAGTAATGCGCGCACTCTGTGATAACATTTGCATCAACTCACCTCGACCCATTGGGTTGACACGTTGCAATTTATATCTCTTTCTATGTAACTTCTCAATATCGACCAGCAAATTTCTGACGAAGTCGGCTTCCTTCTGACATGCTTCTTTAGCTAAATCAAAGTATGAACACAATGAAGTTTTGATCCCGTCAATTTTAGCAAATAAATACACATCTACGAGCAGTTGAGTTTTTGTTTAGATTAACATATATGTTTTTATAGCACTCAAACTTGTAACAATTTGGAACTAAAATAATGACTGAGTTCCAAATCAATATATCATTTTTATGCTTGTGAGCTGCCTTACCCGCATAACAAAATAAATACCATTTTCATACAAATTTAATACTCTCCCTCGAAGAGGACCGGTTAAATTGCATCCAATGCTTAATTTGTTTTTGTCAACCAATGTCTGTAGAGCAAAGAGTGATTCATTCACTTTCTTCTTTAAAGGAATAACTGACTTTATCTGTAACAAGTAAAACAAATAAATGCATTCCACAGATTTATTGTATAAATCATGCACTTAGTCCCAAGTTTTTAAAAATGAATTTTTTAAAACAAAAGTCAAGAATCAATTTTTCTCATAAAAATGGTTTGTTGTTTTTTAAATGAACGATTTATTGGTACAATTCCATATTTTTTTCCAATCTCATATACTTCCAAATAAGTAAATTTCACAAATTAATTATGATTGCAAATTAGTCAATGTACGCTTACTATAAAACTTCGATTCACCAAGACGTTTGAAAAAGATATATTTTTTTTACTATTGACGTAAAAATATTCCTCAAAAGAAATACTTTTTCGTGAATATTTTTTAATGCTAATCGTATCACTTCCTCCTCTTTATCCAGATCATTATCACGCTTCCTCTTACTTCGACCCATTTTCTTCCTTAGTTTCTTCTTCTTTTCCCTGAAATTCAAACAAAGAATTGAGAACTGTAACAAAATTCCATATAAATGAAAATAATCTTTATTTTTCTCTGAAAGCATGAGAGGATAATTTTGCAAGTTAATCTGTCCATCTATTCAAAATAAAAACTAGCTTTGCCAGAAAAGCGAGTTATGGCGTCCACCAAACCTTGATGAGAAACACCTTTCTCTATTAGTGCCACGCAAATCGAGAGTTGAGATGGTGTTAATGGAACATGTAGAATGACGGCTAAAGTTCCGATCACTAAAAAATGACCATTAGTTAATGTATTTAAGAAAAGTCCTTTATTGAAAAAAGACAAAAAGCAGCATATACTCTTAAAAAGAACTAACGTTCGTTTGTTTCCTCTGATAGGTGAGAACTTTCATTCACGTAAGACTTCTGGGAACTCATATACCGAACCTTTAATGAATCAACATAATAAGCTTTGGTGTAACAAACTGAATAAACTACATAAAACATCCCAATCTACCCGATGAACATGAGAATATTTTTTCCAATTCTTTTAACTTCGATTAGATGTTTCTGGCTAGAAAATGAAATTTCAGAGCTTGGGAACAGATTTGTTTTTCTACGCCATCTCATTTTAAAAAAGTGTTCCCTTCACTCTTCCACAAACTACACGATAATTTGTATAACTTTTTTTTCACATAAATATGTTGCTTTTCAGATTTCGAACAATAACAAGAATTAGTGCTATTTTATCTGGAAATAGGTTCATTTAAATAAACAAATTAAAATTCCTAATTCAAAAAACAAACTAAGTAAGAACCACCAATAAGTAAGAACCACCAATAAGTAAGAACCACCAATAAGTAGGAACGTACTACCGAAATGTGAAATTTTTCTTGAAAGAAAGTAAACTTTTTAAATATCAAAATTTATAAAGAATAAATCAAAAAATTTGAATTTTTGCATTTACAATATTTGCATAATTGGAACATGAACAACGTAATGATAAGGGCACTATACTAAGGCAATACGTTCAAAAACGTAAGAACTGACTAACGTGTTACACAGCAATTGAATCTTTAAAGGACAAAATATTTATAAAATTAAAGACAATTCCATGAACCAACTGCCAAAAATCAGATTTTGAAAATAGCATCTGAAATAAAATGCAGAAAATGGTGGACACTATATACAATAATATATGGATAAAATTAATTCAAACTGTAACGTTGCTCATGCGAAAAATCAATACAGCACATATTCGTATCAGATACACCACGGTAAAAGACCATCTTACATTTAAAATGAAGTATAACTACAATATATTTCTAACTTAATTTATAATCCAAATGATTGAGCAGCTTCAAGAGAAACAATTTCATGGTTCACATTGTAGAAAACAACAGAACCTTGATCGACTACAGCTATGAGCAACTTGCCGCTAACAACCTTTGAACTCAGCCAATGTAACTCCGAACTAGAGGGAAATGGAAAAAGCATGTCCAAAACCAGTAATCGATAAATTGGTCTTGATAAAGTATTGCGATAGAAAGTACCACTTCCACTATACACATCATAATCAATTGGTAATTCAACTGAATCTGCAACACTATGAAGAGGGAAGTTCCGCAGTATCTTTGCCCGCTGAATACGATATTCCGTCCATGTTGGAACACAATTAGAAAAATGGTCAAATCTTGGCCAGTAACTGGGCCTCAGAAATTCTTTGTTATCTCTTAGACTGTTCTTCCAAATAAATGTTTCGATTCTTGAAATGGGAAAATTTTCAGCTATACCGAATATTTCTAGTTTTGAAGTACAACGAGCAAGAGAAACTGTTTGTTTTTTCGAATTGAGTGTCGGAAAATTATCTAGAAGATGTGATGGGAAATAAGGTTTTGGTGAATGTTTCCATTTCTTATCACTCAAATTTTCTGCACGCATCTGCGAAGAATTATAGGGGAAGACAACATAGCCAGCACGTTTCAAGTATGAAAAAACAAAGTACTTGGCTGGTTTGATGAGAAATAAGCAAAGCAACCCATAGCACTGCTGTACGGATAACTGAACATTGTCATGGACAACAACAGCCAGACCAGCTTCCATCATCCAAACTACTTCTTCTACAAAAAAATAATGACCATCTTTTCGTTTTACACCCATTTTCATTTCACAAGCATTTCGCAGTTGGAGCGCTTTGAAAAGTCCACTTTTAGCAACATATTCAATTATCGTTAGCCTCTGGCGAGTTCGTCCAGTGTTTGTTGCATATTTCATATAAGGAATTATAGCCTCACGCTCTGGTTTACACGTCATCAGCAACTACTAAATAAATTTATTCAATTTTCTGAAAAATAATAAAATACTCTATTATACAAATGTCCATCAGTCATCTCAAAGATGAGTTTTTTTGCCAAATGCCGCTGTCTCAGAATGATGCAAATGATACAAAAATGTCTGAACTGTAACACACTACAAACCATAAACTACAAGCTAAAGTTGAACTTACTTCCTGGCATTTAATGCAAGTCACTAACTGCACTCATTTTGCTATTCATTAGCTATGCTCGAAGAATATCAAAAAATTTCTAATCCTACAGCTTAAAGCAACGAAGAAGAAACTAACTCGAAAAATATTCCTCTTCCTCTTTTGTATCACAGCCAAATACTTTCAATCTGATCCTTCCTCACTCCAATCCTGGAAACATGTCAAAAAATAGCACTCAGTGAACTGACCATTTCTCTCAGACTTCAGTCCTTCCATGAAAACCAGAAATTTTTTAATACCAAACAGAAATAACTCCAACCTTTATTCTTATTTTGTTGCAATTATTAACAGTGCAGTAGAAAAGCGTACAAGCATACTACATGAATATCAATAACAATAAAGCACCAAACAGACCTTACAGTTTATATGCACATCTTCATAATATTTTGATGTGGTCAAATTTAACATTTTCCCCTGCCATATTATCCCTCTTTAACATAACTGCACTAGTCTTAAATACCTTAAACAAGATACTTAAAGTCCTCACCTGGAATGATATGACTGGATTTTGGATTTTTTGAAGCTAAAATCGTCTATTAGTCTCGTTATGAAAACAATAATTCCATCAATAGTACAAATTCCACTACAGTATCGAAAAAACATTTGAAGATTTATAAATACATTTTATCATTTACCAAAAAAAAAATTGTATACAGTATCACTGTATTGAGTTGTTCGATAAATCATACCAATTATGCTCTAATATACATATATTTATGCAAATTATTTTCAAATTTCAATGGTAGAGTGTTTATTGCATGCATTAATAAAGAGAGTAATGTTAGTTTGGCCTTATTTTTAATCCATGTCAGGTTACTGATCATCGTAATCAACACTGCTTTTGCATTTTTCCCCCTTTTTCAATAAAAACACAGATTCTCGGCTTTTTACGTGATAACATGCCGGATGAAGATGTTTACCACATCGGAAACTTAATCCTTAATGGCATGGGCGATGGACAAGCACCACAAATGCTAAGCTTATTACCAATAGTACTTTTTTGCTTTTGTTTATTAATTTCTCTCTTTAATAATCTGATCGTAATCTAATCTTATCTTAGTCACTTTTTTTGTAATATATTATAATTATTTTTTATCTACTATTTATGTAAAAAGTGATATTGTATAGAATATTTTTTGGTAAATAATAAGAAAGTAGCCATTAGAAAAAGCTATTCAATCATTCAGCAACACCGTTCCAAGTATCTCTTATTCAATTTTGTATCTATGGAATCAGTTGATGAGGTAGTGAGGAATAACGGGCTTGAATTAACGATTTTGGATTAGCAACTTCGGATTTACCGTTTTCTTTTGCGAATCATTAACTTTAATTCTAAATAGTTTGAAAATCTTTTTTTTTTTATTTCTGCATTTCTTTGTTTCTTCTTTTCTTGCAGCCACGAAGAGCAGTTCCAGTTGGCCATGTTCGTATGAGAATTAGACGAGTTAATATTGTACGAAATCTTTTAGCTCATCAGATTCAATTAAATCCAGACAATTTGTTTCGACCGAGATTACCACAGTTAGAACAAAATATAAATCGATCAAACCAGTTGCAAAATTCACGTGAACGACAACTTCGTGGTCGTAATATGCGACAGTTTCAAGGAGTGAATAGACGGGCACGTCTACGAAGTAATGTTGACAGAAATTCTACTGCAGGATCAAGAAGATCTTCTAGAGTAGGCATTAGAAGATCTGCTAGAAGACGATTAACACGACCACAAAACCGATCTCGATCACTTTCATCAAATGATACAGTTAGCACGCAGATCACATCTGCGTCATCACCACAACCAACTGTCAACCACAGTAGCAGCAGCAGTGATGAAAATTCTCTTTAAACTTGTAAATAATCTTAATTTCAGTTCTGAATTATCTAAGAACACATACTATCACTCACTGATTGCATCGTAAAGATTAATATTTGCAATGAAAATTTGTAATTTGTTAAATTTATAACTTGTTTATATGTAATTTGCTCCTTGAAATTAAGCGAAAAAATTAAAAAGTTAAATTTTTCAGGCGAAGAAAATGACCGATGCAAAAAATTAATGTAATTGGAGAATACTGACCGCAAGAAAAACGAGTGTACAGCAGAAATTTTCTTGAAAATAATTGATCGAATTTGAAATTATACATCCTTTAACGTGTATTATTCTCGTGAAAAAAAAATTCAAACTTTTCAGTGAAAAATTTTACGAGCATTGATATAGATCATAAGATAACAAGTCAAATGATGCATGCGTGAATCATATTTAAAAGTAGGCGGAAAAGTTATTTCAGTAGAAAAATGAATATATATATTTGAATAAAAAATTTTTCCATTAACTACTTTCAGTCGGAACGTAGACAAATCTTCGAGTTTATTTTGTAAATGCAATAATAAACAGCAAAGGACTAATTATTATTGTTGATTGACTTTATATTTCATACGTCAAAATTCATATAAATAATATTAAGACGACTTATTAATAAATTTGTTATCGTTTTCTATCTACCACTATTCACTAACCAACCTTATATTGTATTTGTTAATTTGCAAGTTCAAACTTCCTTTAAATTTAAATTAATCGGCAGCAATAGTTGTAAAGCATGTAAGAAATGATACGAAATCATTCTGATCATTTGTAATAATCAAAAGTGGCTGGCCGGTATGGCTCGGGAGATTTCAGTTGCCATTCCGATGGAAGAAGGTGATCCCTTGGGAGCAGTTCCCAATGATAAGCTTGTAATTGTAAAAGTACAGTCGGGGACACTTGCTGATGGAAAACTGAAAGTATTTGTTTCTTTTACGACTACAAAACTACAATAATTTTTGTATAAGAGATTACTTTCATGAATCTAAGAATTTGAAAGTGACACTGTGCAATTGCATCTACCCATCTTACCTATACAAATGTTTTTATACGCACTAATTTATCTTTTTTTGAAAATTGCTACGCAACTTTTCACGATGAATGATCGGGGAATTTAAGAAGTACCTTTCAGGTTGGTGATCAGGTATTGAAACTAAACAATACGACAGTACAAAACTGTGACCATTTCTTCCAGCTGCTCCGCTTTGCCCCTCCATGTGCCAATATCACGTTGATTAGGGACGAAAAAAAAGCAGCTGAATTGGAGAGTCGGATTCACATACCACCCGAAAGAGCCAAATTTATTACACGCCGCGATGGCTACGTATATTTTGTAAGTGAGCCCTTATCTCGGCTAATTTGATAGTATAACCTTGTAATCCAAAGTAACACATTACATTTTTACATCTGAAAAAAGTATTCAATAACACCTCAGATAATTCATTTTCCAAATATAAAAATTAATGTAATACATTAATTCGATTAGTTTATTTGCATTTGCAAATGCATGATATTAGAAAAAATCTAATAATATAGATAAAGTTTAATTTATGTAGTTAGCGCGGATCAATTGGAAGCCTGGGGGACCTAAACTTGGTCTTGGCATTAAGCACTACCAGAATCGTGTGCTAGTTTCTCGATGTGATTCAAATTCCTTGGCCTCACAACAGCTTCAGGTGGGTGATCATCTGATTGATATTGATGGTCACCCGGTTACCGATAAGGATGTCTGTCGAGAGCTTCTGTTAAAAAGTTTGCAAACTCATCGATCTGTCACGACTGTTGTAGAACGTCCAGAAACCATGGAAACTAAACATTGGATTCATAATGCTCTCATCGCATCCTCTGCACAAGCCCCTTCAGTCGCTATGAACAGCGACGTGAGAGCAATTGCAGCACGAGAGCGCAAAAAATTGGGCAATCCTGCTCCTGTTGTTAGCATTTTAAAATGTTGCAAATTCCTAAAATATTCAAAATTTGATTACATTAAAGGAATTCGATTGTACTATGCTGCTGCTACAGTACTACTACTGTCCAATTTTTATTACGCAAAAAGGGAAGGAATCAAATTTTCAAACCACTGATATCATAAGAAATACTTTTCTTCGATTATTTTGGAGTGTATCAGTTAAAATATCAATACTCATTAATTTAACATCATCACTGAAATTGAGTATGTTTTGATGCTAAGCGTTAATTAATTAATATGATTGTCAAATTAACAGCAAATTTCAGCCTAAGAAAAGTTGTCTACGAAAAAACAATGTGGCAATGAAGCGAGTGAACATAGAAGAGAACAAAGCTGCGGAATATATAATAGCCAGTGATAATGAAGGGAAAAATCTGCGTCATGTCCGCAAATAATCTACAGATCTAATAAATAATCCAATAAATCTTAAAAATATGCAATATTTCTGTAATAAATATGGACTTATAATCCAAATAAGTTCTGGTAACATTCATCATTTGTAGTACCTATGAAAGTTGCGCACTAAGTTAGTCGTCACAAGCATTTGGATGTTGTGAATATAGATGTGTGTCACGTACGGAAGCTCGCTCAAAAGACTTCAAACTGAATTAAGTGCTAATAGAGCATTAAGGGACTGTTGAAATATGTTACAAATTGAAGACTATTTTTTCGAACAATAATGCCAACTTCTTGACAGTCTTTACATATTTAATCATTTAGCAAAAAATATTTTACTTTTTTGAGAAACAACGCGTCTTATGAAATATAATTTCTGTAATCTAAATTTAAGGTACAAATATTAAGCATATTATCCGACGAGACTCAAGAACTTGAACTCGATGACGGATGTGTTGACTGAAGGGCTTTCACATGATTCTCGATGCTTTGGTGTCCAAATGACGCACTCCCACCGCGAGAATCAGCACAAATTGGTTTAGCAGTTGAAGTACTATTCTCGAAGTTTGGCATGTATGAATCATAATCATTTCCCCATAAACTCGCAGATGTAAAGTTAAGATTTCCACCATAAATCTACAACAATCACTTAAATAGATAGTATATGTATAAGCAGAAACTTTAAAGTTTCCAAATTGAATCAAGATCAGTGAAGCCAATCTTGGATACATCTGATTTGCTAATCAAAATTTTTAGATCGTATTAAATTTGGTTGCTTTATTGCAAATTACCCAACTTTTTGCCAGAGTCGTCGAATTTCATTAAATGCCATATGTAGACGATATTTTTGAACATCTTCTTCAAACTGACGCTTGCATACGCATGGATGTGAATACTGAAAAAATTGCCTCATATTTTAACTTACTTTGTTACAACTTGTAGTTATCATAACTTTGTTTGATCTTTAATGATCTATAACACCAATTAAAGTTTTTTCCTCTTTAATAATCAAATGCAATGTGTCTAGACTACTTTCCGAAATATCAAGGAATTGCCTTGCAACCTTATTTTCTTCAATGTGAATGGCTTCAGCTTTTCCCATAATAAACGTTGCTTTACGTCTATTACGGAATTTGGGCACAATTCGTATTTCCAAACTCGTGGCTTCCCATGAAGGCTTCATAAGGAAGTGTCCCAATGCTGAATCAACAATCTAGAATTAAAATCTTTCAATGTTTAATGTTATAATGACTACAGCTGAATAGAATATTGGTTAGGGAAAGGTTTCTACCCAAAAGTGACCTTTCAACTACTGCTCCTACAGGGGATATGAAGGTCAAACCTCTTAACAAAAGTGAGTATTACCAACATCTGGTATGACTGTTAAGTCAGTGTCGTATGCATTCCGCAGTTTATAAAAATTGTGCGGTAATTCACTGCCAGTCATTTTAACAGAATTTGCTCCAAAAGTGTTCGAAATTGAAGCAACTAAGTAAATGTTGTGCTTGTTTAACTTTTATACAAAAATTACGAGTTTAAAAATTTTGCTCATAGAAATTTGCATTTTAACGACTTTCTGATTAAATTTGTGCTAACATTTGCTTTGCAATATATTCTGCAAAATTTTTAAATTACAACAAATCGTGAGATTATTATCTTTTTGATAAATTTCATCAAAATTTTATTTTTTCACTCTCAAATTAAAAGCTACTCGTTCGTTCGTTAGTTCTCGTAATTATGACTGGCTTAAAGTTCTCGCAAAGAAACATAAATGCATTATTAATTCATAGTTTTGTAATTACCAAATTAGAATTTTCAGTTCTATTGCTTTATATAATATAATGTCGTGTGACTGTTGCAACACTTCTGAAGTAATCAAAGAGAGTACTGTAATATCTAAAAGATCAATGTCTTATCTTTCGTTTCTATCCACAACACACACACACACACACATGTACATATATTCCTATTAATCTAAAACACATTGCTGAGAAAAATGATTGCTAAGGTTTTTTTGACCGCAGGTTCCATATCAATTTTAATTATCGAGACCATTTGCTAGGCAAAAGAAAATAACGTTTGCATACAATTTTAGATATTGTTAATAATCAATGAAGATGACACTTTATTTTTTATTGGAAGCTAAAGAAGAGATTACTGGTGTTTTTCATAGTTTTGTAATTAAGAGATTTCTGAGATCTTTTTGAAATGGCCAGCAATTTTTGCATGTTATTTAATAATTTTTGAATTTTGTCAGATGTTTATCATTTTTGATGTCTTAAAGAATTGATAATTTTTACTCTTTACACTATTTTTTTTTCTGCGAAATAGGTGAATTGAAGATATGAAGTTTTGAGTATGAACAAAGTCACTATTTGAATCATTTGAATGTACCGAATCCAAATATGATTAATATGGAGTAAATTGATTGCAGCTAATGTTGATATCCTCACCATCACCTACACGTCCTTGTGAGCAGGTGTATGAATTCTATTAAAGACATATCAAAAATTAAATCGCATTTTAATTTAATGTTACGTGATTGGGTTTCATTCCCTTCTCTCAGTTTTTCCAGACTGATTTTGTACATTTCTGCAAATAATTTACTTTTAATTATTTCATAAAAGAATTAAATTAACTGTTGATTTTACGGAAAATCCATAAAGTGTCAATCAACAAATAGTTAATCGAAAATGAAATTAAATCATTTTGTCATGAATACATCTCCAAAACAATAAAGACAGGTACACGTATGATGTGAGAAGCATTTTTCAGTTTACTTGTATGTAACGTGAAAATATAAAGCAAGCGAATGTTTTTTGACCTCACACTTTATCACTCACTATCATTATTGACTACATTACTGATAAATATTGTTACCTTGGCTCTCTATTGCAATACTGATAACTCAATTTCGGACTGCAAAAGTGGGCACTGCATTACCGCTGTATTATCAGACGCATTTGCAAGAATGCGCACATCATTTATATGAGACAGGTCGATTTACATTTGATCTAATATGAAGTGCATATATGACTAATGAGTTGATTTATCGATTGATCACAATTTGAGAGGGCAAACTGATGAGTTATTAATGCAAAGTGATGTATGAGATGAGAAAGATTGCATTCATTTTCGCATTAATAATATAACACCACCACCAATATCCAATACTGAAGTAGACAGACAACCACTCGCCAGACAGCCACACTGTAGAAGTAACAAATCCCATTTTACTTCCTCACTCGCTGCTTATTGACTTAAAAAAGAGACAAAATTGTTTGTCTGTACGTGAATTTAGTGCAGTCATAATTACAGCACTGATTAATTATCTGCTTTCAATCTCAAATTTTATGCTTACATTTGAAGCATTTTTGTAATTGGATGTGAACAAATGCAGTATTTATTCTATTTCATTAGCAATATTCAATTCTGGAAGCAGTTAACATCACGTCGTATGAGGAAACACTGCCTTAGGTGGGAAATGAACGAGAGAGACTCACGCACCCACCACATTTCATATATTGTTGAGAGGGAGTGGAAGGGTAACAAACGTTAGATGACTCACTCTCTCACTCACTCATTCATCCATTTTTAATACGAAATGACGGGAGAGAGTAGGGAGGGGCGAGAGAGGGAAAAGAAAGTGAAAGCTAGCATTTTGGTCAATTTGGAAATGCTTACGGGTTTTTTTTCCAGTTGTTTCTAGAATTAGTTTATGAACGCTTTCATCGTCCACTTTCATTTTTTACCATTCATTCATTACGAAGTGCAAATTCTAACAATAAATCGTAGTATTTTTTGCATTTTTTTGTGCTGTTTGACCGAGGTCATATATATCTTGAAAACTGACCGGGATGGATTTCTTGGAAAACTCACTTCATTCTCATTTGACCACGTAATAACTTAATCAATCAATAAGCTGTCAATCTAACTGCTTGCAGGCCAAATGAAACGATGAAAAAAGGAAACATAACATTTGTTAGTCAGTAACTCTCTTCTTACTTCACATTCATTAATCAATTCAGTACTTGGAAATCTCCCATCAATTAATCTTCTAACATGTCGACTGAGATGTCTCGTAGTCATCGGCTACAAGCTAGCTAGAATTGAAGGTGTACGTTGGTATGTCAGGTTATCTTACAGGGTAATATTGTTAAAAGCACCGGAAATGCAGTAGTCTTTTGACTGTTTACTGCACATTAAATATTAACTTAAACGGAAAAAGTGCATTTTGCTCTTGCGTTCACGTAAATATTTAAACCAGTACTCATTGATTACTTTGCTTTCTGTCAACTGTTTCTTTTACTAATCCAGTTTGTAACTTTACTTTCTACCTTTTAGTTTGTGCTCAAATGGGCAAAAATCTTTCATTTCCATTTTCCATTCAGTCGCCATTTCAACTTTAAAATTTTCTTCTCAGTTTATTACTAATCAAAGAGACGAGCAAGCAATTTATTAATCTCATTTTTGTATTTAATTTGAGCAATTTATTAATAGTTTTCAATTTACGAATGATTATTAAGGCTGCTGTGGTTCGTTTCTTCTTTTTCAGCCACATTTTCGCCTATATTTCACTCATATTCGTACTCTTCATCATTTATCGTTTATATTAGTTTGCTTGATAATTTCGCTTGCAAAAACACTAAACAAAACTGCTTATCCCGCCATTTATTTCACTTCATTAAGTGTTGTAATTTTATCTAAGGATATATTATTTATCCACATGACGGATATTTTTTTAGCAGTCGTGCTGAAAAATTTTTTGTCTACCAAAAAACACTAATAATTACGAAGGAAAGAAAGTTCGTAAATTTATTGCTCAAATGGATAACTTAATTAGTAAGTAAGGATTTTTGGACTTTTTTAAAACATTTTTAGATTATAATTAATCATTTCAGCTAACAATCTATCTTAGGAACTTAACTGAAGTAAGCTTGAGGTGGCTTGTGAAAGATTAGTAACAACTACGTAAGGTAAGTGGAATTTTGTTGTACTGAACAGGAATAGTTAACAAACAGTCTGAGGTGGATTGATTATTCAATTTGATAATGGCTGGTTTCATTCAACAATTTCTATAAAATAATGAATAGAAGTAAAGAAGAAAAATGATATCGTGCAGAAATTACTATCATACGTGGTATTTTCTAGTATTAGCTTCAGGATTAGTTAATTAAAGTAGATTATGTTAATGAACTATCTTTCCTGTTCTCTGAATTAATAATTCATGCATTAATTTCTTTAGCTTTTTAGGTCTTATCATCACATGCTGTGTAAGAAGATAGATGAGATGAGGATTAGCGTTTATTTCAAATCAGCCTTGATCTTAGTTTTCTTCTGAGATCCTACTTATTTACTCTATTCTCATTTACCTATGTGAATTCATCATTCTATTGTTGCTTCCAAACTAGAAATTTCGGATTTTCTCATTTTTTTGATTCTTGTATACTAATTAAATTTTTTTGCATAAACTTGAATTTTGTCGTAAAGAAAGATCCATCACTTTCCTTAATTTGAACATCAATAATTCAAACGTTTTTTTTAATCTGAATTATCTTTCAAGGATTATGCAAAGTTAAAAAATCTTGCTCATTGAATTCATGTAGTGTCCTTACTAATATTTTTAACATATATTTGAAATTTAAAATTCCAACACTTTTTTCTCATTTCTCTTGAATTGTTTTTGCCACTACTAAAGATACAATTTCCATTATTGTTATCTTTACTGTAGTGATTCATCACTTGCATTTTCGAAAATAATAATATAGTGAATTTAAAAACTGTGTGCTGTGATGGTGGTAGAGAATGATTCACAATTTCCATTGTGAATTTAAAAAAAATATCAATCTTCTGCTTGTAATTTTATCATTTTCGTATCATTTATAAGTAAATTTGTTGGTCAATTAAAATTATTGTAAAATTAAACTTTAATTACCGCTATCGTGCTAAAAAGTTGAAAGATGCTGTGAAGAAGTACATCGTGTGTCAAGACATATTGCTGTGTGGGGATGCATTTACATCATAGCGGGACTCACACTATTTCACACATTTTTGATAGAGCGTGAAAATTGTGAACCAAAGAATGGTAATACATAAACGTTCAGGTTAATTGATGGGATTTGGGTTGATATATTTTGCTCATTTTTGACTTATAAAGTCAGTTTTATCTGCGAACAGCTAACTTTAAATTTCCATCAAATTACTATTATCAGTTTTAGGTCATCATTAGGAATGTCTTGTAGATTTGTATTGGAATTCTTGATTTTTTAACAAATTAATGTTGTGTATTGCATTAGAAACGACTTTTTGCTTATGGATTTATAAATGTCAGCTAAAGTAGCATTTTGTGAATCAGACATTAGATCACTTTTCTTTGATTCATACGTGTACCATGTATGTTTATTTTTATTGTTGATGCGTCTTCACAAGTTTTCTGAAGTATATTTTGGAAAATTGAACTATACGATTTCTTTTCAGTTTGTCTTTCACCTAAGATCGTAAAATGTCAGGCTGGGCTGCTTATATCAAAAATCTACTTGACTCAAGTCGAGGCATACGGCGAGCTGCTATTGTTGGCTATCCTGATGGTTCAGTATGGGCAAGGTCCGAAGGTGATCATGAATTTCGGGTAATACCCTATTTCTATTTGCCTTTTTGCGTTGTTCAAGTGGTAAAAAATCCATATACAAAAAAAGTATCTCAATCTTCTTTTTATAAATAGATCGCATGTAGAAAAAGAATTTCACTTTTGAGATGGTTCCATAATAAATAATTAGAAAATTTTCCCTTTTGTCTGCACAGAAAGTTCATTACGATCGTACTTGCGAAGGTCGCACACATTATCGGTAATATAGCTGTGGTGTCTGATTCAGCTCTCTTGAATATAAGCAAAAGTGTCTGGACGAATAAAATGTATAAAAAGTATTTCGTGTTAATGCGTCTTAATGATATACTTAGATCACTATTACAGGATTAAGAGTATTTTAAATTCGCATCAAAATTTTTCAGTTTTTCAGCGTTCAAGTTTTGCTCTGTTCATTTATTGCTCATAGATTTTTAATTTCGCATTTGTAAGGTTTGAATTTTTATCCTTTTTTTCACATTAAATCTTGGAGCAGTCAATTTTGCAGAACGTAACCATTTATATTAATTTTAACTTGCGAAATTATGCTGTATACTGACAACTATATTAGCAATAATGTGTTTTTTCAGGCGACAGATGAAGAATTAAGAAGATTCGTTAGTCTGTATGATCATATTGAAAAAGTGCCGTCCACAGGTTGCGATTTGGAAGGTAATCATTGAGTACCGTAATTATTGTGTCTTGTAACCTTTTTCCCCTTCTCATTGTAGTTTCTTCTTTGAACAGTCATTAAATTCCTTAAATCTTTTTTTATATCGACTTCATAACTTGCCTCCAACTGAGATATTAAGTAAATTCTTTTTTAATCTTACATAATTTTGAATTCGGTGGACAGTGAATTTTTTTTAGCCGTTATAAGGTGATGAAAAGATAAGTCTAGTAATTTCTAAAGATTTTGACGGTATTTGAGTTTCGTAAAGTATTTTGTTCTATAGTTATGATTTGCTAATAGCGTTTTTTGCAGGTGTGCATTATATAGTGCCGCGAACTGAAGAGAATCTCATTTTTGGAAAGAGAGATAAAACTGGGATATTTGCAGCTAAAACAAAATCAGGTTCTCCCATATTTTCATAGTTCCCTGTAAAAGTTTGGTTCAAATAGTATTTAATTTCCAGTAATATTGCTGTTGTTTTTATTGTCTGCAGATGCTTAAATAAAAACCATTTAAAAATATGAAAGTCGCCTAAAACTTTCTTTTGCTTTTATCATCAATTTTAAGCTGTGTTAATTGCTTGCTATGAAGGAGAAAATGCAGCTGGAGCAGAAGTGCGTGTAGCAGTTGAGAAGCTCGCGCAGTATCTAATGGATTCAGGATATTGAAATGACTAGTTTTAAGTTTGCATTGTTTGCAGAAGAACAAAATACCACAAATAAATTGCTAGCACACCCCAAATTTGTTCTGCAAATTGTGGGTATTTATATTTTAAAAAGTTTTTGCAGATATATACATGCGAACGTTGTCAAGCTTTATTTTGGCCGGTAAAATTTTGCTGCCGTTCTTTTGTTTCAGTGCTGCGCTATTTATTATTAGTCTTCCATTCCTTCATTTTGATTTATTCTGTATCCTGCAAATCAAAATTCAAATTGCATTTTTGACCTGATTTCACGTTTTCGACAACATTGCTTCCTTCCATTTTTCTTTTAAGTACAGCTCCTCCATCTTTATTACCATTCCATGCAGTTTTTTGTAATTGCTTAAGTTTACAATGTCGTTGATTGATCGAAGAAAACATAAAATGTTTCAAGAATTTTTCGGAAATGTATTGTGGATTTTACTGCGGGCTCAAGAGGGAATGAATTGTTTCTTATCTGATTGCTATGATATTGACTGAAACATGAGACGACTGAGTAGACACGAAAAAGCAAGTAATATTTATTATAGTGTGTTCATGTGGCAGTGTAGTGTTACTGTTTCAGAAGTCAAATTTGTTTTGATAGATTTCTAATAAAGCCCGTTTTTTGCTCCTTTTTCATGTTTTCCCCAGTTTAAGAAGTTGGAATTCTATGTTGCCAAGGCTTAATTTGCTGGCAATTGACGATAAATCTGGCCTTTTTCGCTTATATATTTCTCTTATTCGTTTTTTATTTTCTTATGTCAGATCATAATTCATCCGTCTGAAACGTATTTCATGTCTTTATTATTTATTAAATAGTAGTACGGTTAATTGATGACTTCATTCTGTTTAAAGTACTGTGTTATTTAGTTTTCTTTGCATAAAAGTCTTGATTCCCAGGAACTTTCGTCAGTTTTCCCGAGTAAATATTTAGGTCTTTTGTTAGAAGTGGGGATAGAGGAAGTTGATATTCTGTAATCATTCAGTAATGCGTAGGAACTGCCTTGGCAATAGTTAACTAAGATTGAATGATCGTATTCGGCCTATTTAAACTCTTGCAAATACTTGGTACAGTCTTTCTCTCTCAAAAAAAGTAGAATTCTGAATGTTATATGTGATAAAGAGAGGTAAGTGATTACATAGAACGGGTATTTGCATGGTCGATTGTTATTATTGGAATTACTTGAATTTATTGGGAGTATTTCCTTACTTTGATCTAGGAATTGCAATGGTCACATCACGTGACAAGTTTGCAGCCACTGAAGTACATTTGAAAACCTTCGATGTACGAGAAATATCAGATGGTAATTGTTAAGAAGAATCTTCGCTAACAACTCTGCAGAGAGGAAAGGAAGTCTTTGAAGATAGGACTGATAAATTAGATTATTCAGTAATAAACATACTATTTTGTCAGATGAAGACTCGCATAATTGCTTATCTGAAAATGGAGATAAACTTGGCAGTGAGTTGGTCTCAATGCAGAAAACTGATCAATTATCACTAAGAATTAGGATTCACTTTGTTACATTCTCAGTTATCGAGAGTGGTATCCCTTCATTACGTTCTGAATATAGGGCTTAATAAAGACGGCAGGTTTATTGTGGATATGTAGTGTTGCAGAACTAATTTGAAGTTTTCCGAAAAACTATAATGCAAGCACTCAGAAGTCATGTATCAGTAACACTGACACAATTGTTAGTTAAACTGCTTATATTTCAGTTAGTTCTCACTATTTTGCTGCTATGGCGAATGAAAGTGACGTATGAAGCGTCAGTAATTATACGGCGAGACAGCATTGATTACTGGATCACTGAATGTATTTTGTTGATTTGAAAAGTTGCTTGCACGGAAAATATTCATTGAGGGAGTTTTGTACCTCATCTCGCAGTTTACCAAGGTCCACTTTTTATCGACAAAATTTGGTTAACTACATTCATTTCGATGAAAGTTAACACTATTACTCAAATCACTGCGAAATAGTAACCAATTACCAGGCAAAAATTTTCATTCACTGCAAACGAATATTTTGAAACTAAAATGAAAGACAGTAAATTTATATCTACAGTAGTTTATTGAGGCTGAGAAGTCTAAGCTTCACAAGAACTCAACTCACTGTAATTGACATCATTAAAGCATAGGTAAAATTCATGAACAAACAAAATAATAAACGCATTGAATGCGCACGCACTAGTAACTGCTTCAAACTTAGTTTCTTTCAGTTTTAATAGCATCAAATAGTTCACAGACATTACTAAACCTTTGGTGGATAAACTGATGTGCAAACTAGAAAACAAAATGAAAGTTTTCTGCTTTTTAAAATAAACTCTAGACGACTGATATGAAAAATCTACAAAATGTTATTCGAAAAACGAAACGCAAATGAATTCTCAGAACTAACCAATAAAAAATTTAAAACAAACTCGCAAAAATTGTCAAATAAAAGCTTTAATCTATATAGTGACCAAACGCGAAAACAGAAATGATAAATAACTAGTATCGAAGGATGTCCCATATAATGTATGCGATTACTCATGTTTATATGTAACAAATTACTTTCACCAACTAAGCATGACGAAATAAAGAGTGGCAGCATGATTCCAACATAAAAATTTTAGCAAAAGCATGTGAATAAAATATTTCAAAGCTCGATCAATAATAGTAAGAAATATGCGATATCAGCCAAGTATCTAAAAGCGAACAAGTAACTCTAAGCAGATACGTTTTGCAAAAACCTCTTTTAAGGATTTTAGAGATTGAAACATGAATATGAAGATGCTACTTATATGCAAAGAACACTATTACAATTCTAAAACTTAATATTTAAAAGTCAGCAATCGAGAAAATTAGCTGCCATCAAAAGCTCTAAAGCTACTTCAGGAGCTATGCTGAATTCTGGTATCTCGGTTGTACTATTCGTGTAACGTACCTTATATGTGAAATATTGACACACTTTTTGCAATACATGCGATCTGCAAAAAGAAACAAAAACAATGATATAAAATTTAAAGAAAATGTTTCTAATAGCTTATAAAACATAACTTTTTTCCAATAGAGACATACTTAACATTTCTATACTTTATTTATTTTCTTTAGAGGATGATTTTTTGTAACATAGAATAAATAAATTGAATAGATTATACATACTCAAAAAAACTCCATTAGGAAAAGAAACCTGTGCCAAACACAACCCGACAATTATATGCATCTCCAAAATAACTCTAAATAATTACTCAAAACTAGCAATTAATTCAGTGAAATTAATGAAGGAAACTTACGGAATTTCCCTGAAATTAACTTCATTTGTTTCATTTTCAGAATAGCTGCCAGGACCAGAAAGCATTGATTTAATTGTACCGGAAGTTAATGCGAAATCCTTTCTGATAATGAATTCATGTCCATCGCTGCTGACTAATTTTACGTACATAGCATCAGGTCCTTCGATACCACCATAAACTGTAACGAAAAGATTAGCTTTAAAGTTCTGGTATAAAAGTTAAGTTCATAGACTGATTACTAAAAAGTCAAAATATAATAACAGTATTGTAACATAATTTGATGATTATTAAATATGCACTGTTTAAGATTGCATGGTATTTGCTAACCTTTTTCAACTCCTGACATTTTGCTTTGATCAGTTGCTGTTTCTAGCCTAGATATGAAATTAACTACGGAAAACGCAACCAAGTCTGCTCGATAACACAGCTTTCCACAATGGATTAATGAAAGAATAGGCAATACATATTTTACAAGAAGTAAACCTTATAGGCTTAAGGCTGAGTAGCGAACAAGCATTGTTTCTTCTTTCCTTAACTGCACTCTCTTTTATTAATCTTTCGCATTTTTCTCTCTTCTTTACTAATACACTATGTTGAACAATTTTCATTGTATGATTGCTTTTCATACTGAGATGAATGATTTTCCCGAGAATTCCTGGTGTTGAGTTTACTTAGGAATTAAATAGCGGAAAGTAATTAATACTAGCAGTCTTTCACTAATGTACGATAATTTAAGAACCACCATCCTTCCTTTTTTTTAATCATTATATATTTTGCAAATGGCCATTACTGCCTTCAATCATGTTGATCATAAGGTTGCATTACGTTCAAATCACATCAAGCAATTTTATTCAGCTAGAAATTCTGTCAATTATAATTACTTATTATATTCAGTCATCAGCTTTATATTAATATTCTTTTCTTCCTGGTAATAAAAATAATTAGCACTATTAATACTAAAGAGTGTGAAAAATTTTTACATATTTGATTTGTATACATTTGAATATAATTTTTTTGGCTGTATCTCTTTGTTACGTGTAGTTTACTTTGTTACGTCGATCCGTATATCTAAATCTAATGCTATATTAAAAGGTATAAAATTTCAAATTGAAAAAAAAGTATTCAAACATTTTTGCATTGTGTAGAAAAATTTCTATTCTGTTTCATTACTTCTGATACATATCCTAGAATACTTTTCTATATTTGGAAGAACTGACTTGACTAGAATACATCTAGTTCTAGCCTAGGAGAGGAAAGCTTTTTTCTGCATTGAAATTTGATTCACTCATCGTTTTTCATTGTGATCATTTAGCAAATATGATAATGAATCAACTCGCATTTACAAGAGAATTCACATGAATTAATGATGCATAGATATTACTTATACTTTTTTTGTTTAAAATATTCTCAGCTGTCTCATACAAATAAGGTGTATTGTATAAAGACTGTTTTTCTACTTACGTCTACTTCATTCTTCTTTCACCGATTTCCTTTTCCTGAAACGATAAACAAAAGCGTAGATTTCTTGCAACGTAATTTACGACACTACTCTTTAAAATCAAGTGGGAATTTCAATTATTCATTGAATTTTCAATTTTCACTCACTTATTAGATTCACTTTATAATAACCTATTTGTGATTGCAACTACAATGTCACTAGTTACGCTATATTTCGCTGCAAGTATCTCATATGTATTTTGATTGTTGCCATTGTTATCATATCATAAACACATTATTGCTGGCTCTGGCATTGATAGTGATAAAGGCAGTGGTAACGCATTTTACAGTTCTGAAATTTGCCAACTGAGAATAAAAAATGGATATGAAATTGTAAATGTTCAGAAATTTGATTATTAAGTAAACGGAAAGTACTGTAAGTTGTGGAGGAGAAGTTCTATCCCTACGTTATGCTTCCTGCGGGTAGAGTTAGACTGAAACGCTCTGCTAACCTGTGTAATAGGCCTAAATAGGCAGACTTTCAGTCAGATCTACTACATTTTTCTTTCATCGATTTCCTTTTCTTGAAACGATAAACAAGGATACATGTCTGAATATATACCCCCACATATGTCTTCACTTGTCCTTCAATTTTACGTTAACGCGTTGCGACATGAGTTCGTATACGTTTGCATGCAAATTTCCACATTATTAATAATAATTTTATAATTTGGATATGTTAATATGCGTTTGCGTTGTCTTATGTCTATCTCTGCAAATATTTGACGTATTTTCTCAGGTTTTTGAATATAATGCTACTTTTTTTGCTTTCCATCTAATTGCTAGTTTCGCATGATCGATGCAGTTAACGATAGGAACCTTGTAGTAATTATAGGATTTATGTAGTTAACGTGATGATGTGATATGACGCATGATGTTGCAGAGACGAAAATTTAGTATTTGTGAAATGCTTAATGTGAACGCAAGAAAGTATTCAAAGTTGTTAATAATAGATTGACTTCACTTACAGATGTTGTGCTGTTCATCTGAACTTTCTAATAATACATCAGAAGTTATTAAGTAGAAAAGTGGAATCATTTAAGAAGGCAAAGTTAGGTGAAGTATGAGTTTAGCACAAGTTGAAAAAAAAACTGCAGTAATTTTATCTTTTTTTTTTGTTATTTTACTCAAAGATTTTGCTGTCAAGATTAATCAATTGATTACTTTATTTAAAAGTATCATAGCAAATAAAGTATGTGATTCGTTGATCATGTCTCGCATTTTGTTGATACAACTGAATTCTGCAGTTACTTGTCTTAATAAAATGGCATTTATAAATATTGCTAGTAGTTTAGTGATAAAAGAATTTTTAATGAAAATAAATGAGGTATAGTAATGGTGGCAGGCAGATACGAATTCATAATGCTAGAAATCAATTAATAACGGACATTTTGAGAGCAGCTGTAATATGCAAATGTCTTGCAAAAGTAAGCAAACAAGAAGGAATTAATTCTCTATAGTAAATAAAGTATAAATGATGATGAGGATTGTTGTTGAATTACTATACGATTATTCTTGAACAGATTTAAGTAAACAGTGGATGGACTAGATAGAGGACAGTTACATATTATATTTTCATAAATAATGTATTTAACGGCATCGTGCTAAGCTACATTTTGGTTGTAATAATCGTATTTAAGGACAGTAATGAGTACGAACGATAAATTGTGACTCGATTATTTGCAAGCGAACTTTAGTGAATCAATCGTGAGAATACTCTAGATTTTGCTCGCTTTGCACCTTTCATACTTTGGTTCTGTCGACAGGAAGCAAAAATTTTTCGACTATTAACGAAAATCATTCTTATTAATAATTTTAAAAAAGAAGTGCTCTTTTGCTCATCTTCTTTGTTATTTGATGCATTTCTTGACCTGAAGCAAATTCAGTTAGCTGTAGATTCTGTTTTGAAGTAAACCAGACAAAATTGAATAATTTCTTGAATTCTCTTGCCGAAATTTCGGGTATTGACGTAATATCCACTCAGAGTAATTCTTTAACTATTTCTACATTTATTTGTTTGTTGAATTATCAGAAGCCTAGAAAAAAGTTATGATTGCGCAATGAAATATAGTAAAGTTCTCATTGCTTAGTTACTTTTTTTAACAGAATATAGGATAATTTTGATTGTAAAAGTAGTTAAGCTGTATCTGAATTGAGTAGTTATATTCTATTTTCTCAAAGGATTAGGCGTAATCCAAAATTGTTTCACTATTTTTGTACTGTATGCAGTTAGTAAATAGAGTGCTTTCAGTAAATTCTCATTTTGCTTGATAGTCTTCTCATTTTGAAAAGATTATTGTTTATTATGAGTGAAAATGAAATGTTTTTCAACATTTAACAGAGACGTAGTTTACGTATCAAGTAGAATCTCGTTTAGGCAGACGTTTATTTTTAAGATAACATTGATGAAATTGCTCTTTATGCATTCATTTTATTTGTGTCATAATTTTCACGCTTTCGTTATTCAAGTGCTGTAGTTTTTGTTATAAAAATATGAAGAATTGATGTAAATCTTTGCAAACAATACTTGAGAATTTTTTTGTTCATTTATCCATTGTACAAAGAAATCATGAAAGATTACAGCATCTTATCTCTAAATCTTTGTCGTTGCAAACATTTCTTTTTGCTTAATCGCTGATGTGTACTATTTATCTACTCACAATTTATTCATCTACGATTGACTAGTCGTGGTTCTTGAGTAGAAAATTGTTGACTGAGGGATATATAAGAAGATTCTGGAGCAATTCTTTTATGTTTGCATTTCAGGCAAATAAATATCAAGTGACCAAATGTGAAAGCACTAGTAAGCATCTAAAGTCTTTGGAAGTTAATGATATTTAGTACATTTTTCAGAGAAAAGCAAGAATATTATTACACTTACGTATACGCGTAATATATATTTATGTATAGGTATAGAACATCAAAATATAATCATTTACTCATAATAAAGCAGAATAAAGGTGTAATAGAATTATTTTTATTTTTTGTTTCTCAAATTTTGGTAATTTGTGAGGAATTTTGTGAGAGAAAAATGTTTTATGAATTTATTGGTTCTGCTATTTAGTGTAAACAAAAACGAATTGACCCGCTTTTGAGCTATGTGAGAGGGGTGGATGAACTGAGTGAACTGAGAGGGGTAGATGAACCTTGTCAACATAGATCAGATCCTTTATATCAATCAGTCATTAATAACTCTGGTGGATCGTTGCGTGAAGAAGAAAATGATTCTCTCAGTTTCTGTTTTTTTCTTTATTCTAAACTTCCTCTTCTTTCTGAATCAAGATAGAATTCTTCTATTAGAAAATGTACTCACATTTTTCATTAATTTTTCTACTAATTAGCTTCATTAAAAACAACTAAGACATGAATTACAAGGTCATCTTTTTTCAAATCTCGTGCATTTTCATTATTTTCTTGGCTTTGCGTTCATTTTTAAACTTTTGATCTTTCTTAAAGTGTAAAATTTTTTGCTGCGAAGCTAAAAAATGGTTTCTTCACCTTTACCTTCGGTGTGTTTTTGTCGATGGCAATTATTAATTCCTTTTATTTATATTTGCAGTTTGATTTAGCTAATGAATAAAATTATAAAATTATGTTACAATTAAAGTAATAAAAATTCTCTGTAAGTAATGTTTGCAAATGAATAGTTGAGCAGTCTTCTTTGTTGTTTTCTCATTTTTCAGATAGAGCAAGTCAGGTAATCAAAAACAATACATGGAACCAAAACATTTCATCCGTATTTATTGAAGGGCATTTTTGATTGATGTATATGTTACTTATTTGATATCGAGCTAAATTTCAACTTTTCTCCATAAGACGACATTTTATTTGGTCTCAGTTTTGCAATTT